GGATGATTCCTTATTTGCTACAGTTGGTCATGGCCCAAAATAGATCTGATATTGTGTTCTTCCTATTTTTTTAGGTGTTGTTTTGCTGTATATAAATTTTCCCAGCCCCAAAAACCCAGCACCATCGTCATCCTGAGGCTTGTCACTAACCTGGAGAGGCGGCAAAACAAGTGGCAGCCTGAGTTGGTTTCTGGAGAGTTTATTTCAAAAAAATAAGGCAACCTTAGTCTCATTAAAAAAAAACTCTAACACACAAAGATATTGTTGAGATAGTATCACAAGTAGTCACGAGTAAGAACCATACCGGAGAAACGATTTGTTCTATCAATTTATTTTTTCCATGGGCAGATTGAACAGGCCAGAGGCACATGTAGTACAACAAATGCAACAACCATGTTGCAAGCAAAACACCGCAGAAAAACAATGAGCGTCAAACTGAGAAACAATTACACCACAAGTACTCCACAAGTAACACGTTCAAAGAATTTCAAAGATATAAATGGGAAAGTCTCAAAATAGGAGTGCCCCAAGCTCATTTTTTTAGTTAAATAAGAAGGGTTTGGGGCACTTGGTTATGGCACCCCTTTTCTGAGATATTCCCTAATGCATAATTGTTTGAACAACGTAAGTTTTTCATTTTTTTGTGGTTTGTACTATATGATATTTTCACAAGTGGAAGTTGTTGTTCAGCGCTGAGCTAAGCAGATATAAGTCAGCAACATGTGAATTTTCATCTAAATATAAACATGTGAAACATTTAATTAGGAACTTAGCCATATTCGACGATTTTCTTTCAAAATCGTTGTTGCTGTGTTGTGTTTCCAAAAAAACCTTCTGACTGACTTGAAAAATATTGTTGTAAAAAATATATGTAGAAATGATTGGTGAGGTCAAAACTAAACAGTTACATTCACATTTGGAAATTACTTGTGAGGTTGAAACTAAACCATAACACCTACATGTGAAAATTACACAAAATTACTCGTGGTGGTAAAGCCCAAGAAAAAAAACACCTACATGTGAAATTTACGAGTGATATTGAACCCCCACAATAACACTTACAGTTGAACATTACTTAAGGGGTTCAAACTAAACAATGACCACTTACATGTGGAAATAAATTGTGAGGTTAAAAGCAAACAATGACGCTTACATGCGAAAGTTACTTGTGAGGTGGAAGCCAAACAATGACTAGAAGTTATCAAATGCATTGTACATGTGATGACTTGCCTTCATCTCTATCTTATCTTAGTAATCATCTCTGGCTGTGGAAACAAAAGTGACTATTGGGGACTGGACAGAATTTGAGCTTGGGAGAACAAAAAAGGTGCAATACTTGTGACAACCATTTACTTGCGCAATAAAAAATAAGTTCACTGAAATTTCTACTTGAGTGACATGAGAAATATATTGAAAATAAACGTGGAAAATATATATTTCTTTCACATATCTTCAACATGATGCAAAAAAAGGATATGCACTTCTTATGCGTTTCTTATGCCTTTTTCTTTTTTCTGCAAAAAAATCTAAGCTACTAAATTAATTTACTTTACTCAGGCCAACTAAATTTTACTACGAAAATATCCAAATAAAGTAAATTCATCGAAAAAACTAAATTTACTAGATTTCGAGACTCAGGGTACAGTACCATACCTCCCACGCAGTGACGAGTTACCCCATGCTCCTCATTGTGCGTCATTGCTTGGCCGCGCAGCCGCGCAGCCGTGCAGCCGGGCGTTGCTTCGGCATGGGGGATAGGGTACCCCACTTCATGGCCATCTTTTCTTGGATGTGCTTGGGAAATGTTGATAAATAATGATAAACATGGACAAACCACGGGATTTTAGCGCTGCTACCGGGTACCGATGTTTGGACGCAGCCAATCCTCATAAACCTCACCCGAGTCCGCTGACATCTGCTCACACTGTGATGAGTGATGATGAAGACAGCGGCATATCTGCACAGGTGCAGTGAAATTTCAGCCGGATCGTTGGAAAATGCGGTGAATGCAGGCCTCGTTCCCTGGCAATGAACTTCGAGGAACCTTGAAAACAGACTTTGCGCGTTAACATGAACCCTGGGAGTCCAGGGACGTTGTTTTAATAGTCTTTGGGGAAAGTACGTTTTTAGCAGCAAACGACAATTTCAGGTTCATGGATCACATGCTGGAAGCTGGCTCAATCTGAGTTGCAACCAAGGCACGTCCATATCATTGAAATATATTTCAACTCATCATATGTCACCCAAATAATCCTTTAGATGTCGAAAGAATTATCATAGTTATATAGACTATGATGCTATGATAGATTATGCATGATATAGAGATTGGGGTCAAGATTCAACCCACATGGATTCCACCTTGATGCCGTGATGCTGTGATTATGGCATCGATGCTGTGATTTTGGGCTACCTCTTTGTTAAGGTGGCTCTGGCAGCATATATGTTTTCACTTAGTACCTTATTGAATGCACAAGTGTGTTGTGTTTGATCTGGGAGTTTGATTATATTATATTTCATCCCAGGTGGTGGTATCCACATGGATGAGATTCAAACAAGCGTTGTTACGCCGCCCCTTGATCTGCATTGGGACCAACAACATGTTCCAGCTTGGAATGTTGATTACAAAGTGGGTATTAGTCGAGCTTACAAAAAAGTTTCGCTCAGGACATGCTTCCGATATCAACCTACAAGACCCCCAACCCGCTCATCCAGGTGCCAACCGCCCCAGCCTGTGCTGGAATTGGGGATGTTTGTCCATGTAAATCCATGTAATTTTTTATTGATGGGCACTTCCTACAAAATCCCAATCCTACCAACCGGGTGAAACTGTCATGGGGGCCTTTAGAATGTATTTACTATTGTAACTTATGAGGTTCAAGGAGGCATCCAAGGGTGTCTCGGCCGCTGCTTGCGGTTTTTTTCCCATGGCGGCTGTGTCTTCCGCTGAAGATCGCATATTGCTCCTGCAGGAGCTTTAGCTGCAACCCACCTCCAAATACCAAGTGTCTAAATTATGAAAATTAAAATGCCAGCCCTCAAAATCCCTCAAATACAACTTGTAATTTTTGTGAAGACCTGTTTATTTGCCCAATATGTTTATGGTCCTGCATTATACAATCATTGATTCCTTTGGGGTGCTCAATAAGTTTCAATGAGGTGGGACATGCAGGCGCCCACAAAATACAGAAAAGCAAACCTATACCAATTTGATAAAGATTCATCATCTCTATTTGCTTAGGGATGGTTGCATGATATACGATGCGGTCCTAAGTAACGGCCCAGGAGTTCTATAAGGACCTACTTGACCAGAAGAACTACATCCCAGACCGGAGAGGTGTTCTTAGGCAACGGCTTGGGATGCGAGAAAAGGATTCCCGGGTGGCTTGGCAGCCATACAATTACTAAAGTGACTCTGTTGGGTAACTTTTCTGCGCATGACATGCATGCATACACACATGCACACTCATGCACACATCATCTAAGGTTCCGCCTTGGTCGTTTGTGGACCGCCTTTGCAAGGGTTCTACTATCCAAGAGATGGAGGCTTTTGGGATCTCATTTTTTGGTTCAATGATTCTGTTTACACTGTGTGGGTGGTTAATCATTGCTATCCCATCACCATAATATTCAGCACCCTGTAAGTGGTCCCAAAAAGAGATAGACCCCGTCTAAACCATGGTTTCAAGGGGATGTCGAGTATTGACGGGTATGGTTATGTATTATATGGCTATAAACTAACAGGGTCATAAGCTGCAACTGTGTGATACAAATTGATCATATTCCACACGCTTCTAGATACAAACTTCCCTATCGACTGGGGGGGCCCTACCTTGTAAGATTCCTTGAATGAGGTGATCCTATTACATCATCGGTCCTTTGCCAGGTACAACGTTCTCAGGCAAACCAGCAGTTCTTGTGCGAGTTCCTGGCCCAATTTTGTGAGAAGATTCCAAATGACAGCGAGATGGAGGACCCCGAATTTGTCCAGAGGTTTGGGAGTAAACTGGTGAAATTGTAGGGTAGCAACCAGTATGGACTACCTTGGTTATTATAAATACTGTATGTATCATGTATAATTTAAATTATAATATATTTTATAATAGTATGCTAGCCTTGTCCAGGAAGCGTTGACCTGGGCAAGCATGACTTATTGCCTGAACCCACAGTTTTCCTCGGAAGCTGATCACCGAGTGTCTTGTCACAAAAAAACGCAAATGGGATGGGAGGGGTTGGACTGTGTTGATTTGCGGACATGTTACCTCAAATCTGTTTATGGAAATTTTCGATCCATTAAATTTTGTCAGTGTGGCAAGGCTTGGGCTAGTGTCGAATCTGGTGTACAACATGCACTCGCCTCCTACTGCATGCTGCGCTTTCAGAGATCCTCAAAATCCCGGTGCCTTTCCTCAAGTTCTACATATGACACAATGATTTTGGCTGAATGTTTTTCCCCAAGTATCCAATATTGTTTTTAACCATCAGCAACTCAGGGCTGGAAGGGAAGGCATGGCGAAGATCAAAAACATCATCCATGCAAAGTTGAAGGCTAGGCATTTGACATCCACACAGTTTGTTTCAACTAAAATGTTGAAATTATTTTCGATACAGTTGCCGATCCTTTTTCCACATGTCAACCTGCACATTGACTTGATCTAACTGCCAACTCCTATGTGGCTAGGCCTGTGGGTTACTGACCCTTTCTGGGAAGGAAAACATCTAGGGGACCAAAAGCAAAGAAGGAGCCCGTTCGCAAAATCATTTTGAAACCAATCTCTCCCTCTCTCTCTCTCTCTCTCTCTCTCTCTCTCTTTCTCCATTGTCACCCGGAGATTTGAAACCAATTGACTCCTTCATTTTGTTCTTTCCTTCTAGCTTGTCCTGGCCTATGCCCAGCCCCATGCTGGCTCTTTTGCCAGGAGAAACAACAGCAAGAAAAGGCAGCCAGCAAAGAAAGCGAAGGCAAAGATGAAGGTGGCGAAAAGTCAGAGATGATTGACAACATGGAGACCCTGGTCTACTTGCCTGATACTCAAGACCTTTTTGAAGGTAGCCTAGAGGAAGATGAGAAGTACCCGGATAATGAAGGAAGCGAAGAGGATCTAGAGGATCATGAAGAAAGTGAGTCAGAGAAAGGAGCACAAGAGGAATTATCAGATTCCGAAGATCCCGAAGAAGTTGAGGAGCCCAAAGAAGTTGAGGAGCCCCAAGAAGTTGAGGAGCCCCAAGAAGTTGAGGAGCCCAAAGAAGTTGAGGAGTCCCAAGAAGTTGAGGAGCCCCAAGAAGTTGAGGAGCCCGAAGAAGTTGAGGAGCCCAAAGAAGTTGAGGAGTCCCAAGAAGTTGAGGAGCCCCAAGAAGTTGAGGAGCCCGAAGAAGTTGAGGAGCCCGAAGAAGTTGAGGAGCCCCAAGAAGTTGAGGAGCCCGACACTCAAGAGGTTCAGGAGCCAGAGAGCCAAGACAAAAAGAAAAGTGAGCAAGGTGAGACCACAATCGATGAAGATGAAGAAGACGATGAAAAGGCAGCAGCCTTCAGTGACACAAAGGGCCCCATTGCTCAGGAGCAGTTTGCATCCAAGGAGCTGGAGGAGAAGGCAGCCGCAGCAAGTGAGTTGGTCAAGAAGACTTCCAACACAACAAATGACGATATCGTCCGGGCACAACGCAAAATGCGCCAAGCTGTGAAAGAAGCAGAGGAGTGTGAGGATTCAGAAGGTGAAGATGATGACCGCAGGCTGAGAGAGCTGGACGAGGAATCAGATGAGCGGAGGAGACGCAAAGGACGTGGAAGAGGACGGCCACGAGGAAGAGGAGGAAGAGGTAGAGGGCGAGGAAAGAAAGAAGCAGACTCTGACAAGCCTGACAAGAGGTACAGAAAGAGCCGCAGATCTGATGAAGATGATGAACATGCCCCAGATGAGCCTGAGAGGAAAAGTGAAGAAGATGAGAAGTCTGTTGACAAGGAAGATACAACAAGAGCATACAAACAGAAGCAGAAAGACCAGGAAGAGAAGGGCAAGACAAAGGAGACCGCAGAGAAGAAGGCCGCTACAAGAGAGACAAAGAAGGCAGAGGAGAAGACAGGCACTGACTGAGAAAAAGGAGCTTGCAGTCAAGAGGGACACCGAGAACAAGACAAGCAAGACTGCAGAAAAGAAGCGTGACAAAGCAAAGGGTGGCCAAGAGGCAGAAGAGCAGGAGAGAGACAAGGTTGAACCGATGAAAAAGGCCCCCAGGAGGATGAAGAAGACTGAAGAGATCAAGAACACTCAGGAGGAAAGCCAGGAGAAAAAGAGTGAGGATCAGAAGGAGGAGGTGCCAAGGAAGAGGAAGAATAAGAAGGCTGATGAAGGAAGAGACCAAGATGAACAAACGAAGATCGCAGGCACCAAGAAACCCAAGGAGGCAGAGAAGATGGAGAAGGCTGATGAAGGAAGAGACCAAGATGAACAAACGAAGATCGCAGGCACCAAGAAACCCAAGGAGGCAGAGAAGATGGAGAAGGCTGATGAAAGAAGAGACCAAGATGAACAAACGAAGATCGCAGGCACCAAGAAACCCAAGGAGGCAGAGAAGATGGAGAAGGCTGATGAAGGAAGAGACCAAGATGAACAAACGAAGATCGCAGGCACCAAGAAACCCAAGGAGGCAGAGAAGATGGAGAAGGCTGATGAAGGAAGAGACCAGGATGAAAAAACGAAGATTGCAGGCACAAAGGAATCCAAGGAGGCAGAGAAGATGGAGAAGGCTGATGAAGGAAGAGACCAAGATGAACAAAACGAAGACGCAGGCACCAAGAAACCCAAGGACGGCAGAGACGATGGAGAAGGCTGATGAAGGAAGAGCAAGGGAAACAACCGAAGAAATCGCGGCACAAGAAACCAAGGAGGCAGAGAAGAGAAGATGGAGAAGGCTGTGATAGGAAGAGACCAGATGAACAAACGAAGATCGCAGGCACCAAAACCCAAAAGGGGCACGAGAAGATGGAGAAGGCTGATGAAGGAAGAGCCCAAGATGAACAAACGAAGATCGAGGCACAAGAAACCCAAGGAGGCCAGAGGGACGATGGAGAAGGTGATGAGGAAGAGACCAAGATGAACAAACGAAGATTCGCAGGCACAAGAAACCAAGGACGGCAGAGAAGAGGGAGAAGGCTTGATGAAAGAAGAGACCAAGATGAACAAACGAGATCGCAGGCACCAAGAAACCCAAGGAGGCAGAGAAGAAGGAGAAGGCTGATGAAGGAAGAGACCAAGATGAACAAACGAAGATCGCAGGCACCAAGAAACCCAAGGAGGCAGAGAAGATGGAGAAGGCTGATGAAGGAAGAGACCAAGATGAACAAACGAAGATCGCAGGCACCAAGAAACCCAAGGAGGCAGAGAAGATGGAGAAGGCTGATGAAGGAAGAGACCAAGATGAACAAACGAAGATCGCAGGCACCAAGAAACCCAAGGAGGCAGAGAAGATGGAGAAGGCTGATGAAGGAAGAGACCAAGATGAACAAACGAAGATCGCAGGCACCAAGAAACCCAAGGAGGCAGAGAAGATGGAGAAGGCTGATGAAGGAAGAGACCAGGATGAAAAAACGAAGATTGCAGGCACAAAGGAATCCAAGGAGGCAGAGAAGATGGAGAAGGCTGAGGAGAAGAGACCAAGATGAACACACGAAGATTCGCAGGCACAAGAAACCCCAAGGAGGGCAGAAGAGAAGATGGAGAAGCTGTGATGAAGGAAGAGACCAAGAGATGAAACAAACGAAGATCGCAGGCACCAAGGAAACCCAAGGAGGCAGAGAAGAAGGAGAAGGCTGATGAAGGAAGAGACCAAGATGAACAAACGAAGATCGCAGGCACCAAGAAACCCAAGGAGGCAGAGAAGATGGAGAAGGCTGATGAAGGAAGAGACCAAGATGAACAAACGAAGATCGCAGGCACCAAGAAACCCAAGGAGGCAGAGAAGATGGAGAAGGCTGATGAAGGAAGAGACCAAGATGAACAAACGAAGATCGCAGGCACCAAGAAACCCAAGGAGGCAGAGAAGATGGAGAAGGCTGATGAAGGAAGAGACCAAGATGAACAAACGAAGATCGCAGGCACCAAGAAACCCAAGGAGGCAGAGAAGATGGAGAAGGCTGATGAAGGAAGAGACCAGGATGAAAAAACGAAGATTGCAGGCACAAAGGAATCCAAGGAGGCAGAGAAGATGGAGAAGGCTGAGGAGAAGAAACGGAAACATGCCATCGCCACCAATAAGATCGATGAAGCGAAGACGAAGAGACAAAAGGAGGCAGAGAGGCAAGACAAGGTTGAGGACAAGAGCAAGGAGGAGACAGCAAAGGAAGGAGAGCAGGCAGCAGGCAGTGGTGATCATGATGATGATCTCAGAGCCTTGAAAGGAGGCCCCATCCACCAAGAGGTTCATGAAATTGCGGATGATGAGGATTTCTCACCTGAGAAGCCTGACAACCAGCTGGGTGACCCAGACCTCTACCCACCGACCCCAGTTGGAGACAAAAGCGCTGCAAATGCAGAGATGGTTTCTGAGAAGCCAGAAGCAAAGAGCCAACCAGCCAATCCCAGGAAAGCAAAGAAGGAAGGTGAAAGCCAAAAGTCTAGAAGCAAGCAAAGTCCCTTGAAGTTGGCAGCCAGTGCTTCAAGGAGGATGATGGAGAAGAAGAATGGAGATCCAGTAGCAAAGAACTTGACAGCAGAGTTTGAGAAAATGGCTCAGAAGCGTGATGAGAAAAAACCCAAGCGAGTAAAGAAACCGTTGGACACCACAGACCTTGCCACTTATCAAAATCACCCACAAAACTTTTGCAAACTGGAGCTCATTTACAGTGTGTAGTATGGTATGCCCAAACAAAAAATAATCATGAATCACCCACGATGAATGATGAAGGTCTATTAATAATATTTACTATATACTATATTTGTTGCGGATGCAGTATATAAGCCATTCGAAGGCAAACATGTATCCAGATATCGTATGACCCATTTCTGGGGAACCTTTGGATGTTTGCGCTGAAGGCTACCAGCTGCAGTATGTTGATGCGCTTGAAGCACGAAGAGCCTATGTTTTTGGTCCCTGATGACCTTCAAACCGCTGTGGACACCTTCCAGTCTACTCACACATGGACCTATCCCCATAAGCATGGCCCCCAGTATTAATATCATATCTCATGTAATCTCCTTCGATTTCCATGTAGGGAAGGTCATCCTACCCCAGCGCCAGCACTCAGGTCCTTCACATTGACTCGGCCTGATCATCTTGGACCAGCGCCTGTCGAAGAGCCAGGGACCATTGGAGTCTTGCTTGGCCCCCAATTCTTATGGTTAGGGATGGAAACCATCATTGGAACATGGATGATGTTTTATTTCTTTACTTGGGGCAGCGGGGCATCTAAGGCTTGACACCCGTGGGTTTTTTGCATCCAGAGTGCCCAAAGAGCGGATCGAGTTAGTGAATGAGAAAATGAATCCGCAACCTGCTCTTAACGCACCTGGTCTCAAATCCACTAAAATCCTCATGTGAGCCTGAAACATCTGCTAGCATAACTTGAGTACTGGGAGCCCCAGTGCTCAATCTAAGGCAAATGTGCGGCGAGGTGTCAGTGTTTCTTGGGGGAAATATGGTCCCTTCTTTGGGCCAGGTGCTTATCCTATCATGGAATTGCAGTAAAATGTTTCTCCATCAAATTTTGAACACAACACATTGAAATTGTCGGCCTATGACTTCCTATTTTTTTTAACCAAGTTGATTTAGTTGATTTGGCCCAGGTGGTCTTTGGCTACAGCATTGGCCGGGTGGACCGAAATCAAGGATGTGTTGGAGTCTGATGAGGAAGATGGCCAGTCGCAATCTGATTTGGAAGGTTGAAATCGTAGATCTTGAGTCTAGCAAATAGATGTCTCAATCTTTTTGTTGCTTAGTGGCTAGCATAGGGGGGTGTGCTTCATTAAGTGGTTCCTCAATGTGGCACAAAAAAAAATGTTTCCTGGTTTATATTATAGCATTGATCAAATGATCATAAACGATCCCCCAAAGATTTTTCCATTGTTGGGAAGGAACCCCTGGCTAGCTACAGTGCCGTGTGTGCGTGTGTTTCCACACAGATAGTTCAACTGTCCTATGGGGTGGACTGCAGCTTGAAAAAGAATTGGTCAACATTGGCCAACTTTGTTCATACCAGAAGGTTTTGCACAACTGTTATGACTGTTATTCAATTCAATTGTGTTCAAAACTTTGTCAACTTGACTGCACATGTTGAACTTGTGGATTATCTATGCAGCATTTTGGTATCATAGTTAAATGCTGACAGGGTTGCACCAATGCCCCGGCCAACCCGGTCACCGGCAAGCCCACTGGCCTTGTCGGCCAAAGCTGCTCGCTTGCTTTTGCTCCTTGGAGCACCAGTGGTATTGCTCCTCGGCTTTGCAATTAATAAATGGCAGGTGCATCCCTATTTTTGGAGGGCCCATCTTGATAAACAACACTACATTTGGAATGCTGTTAGTGTTTGCCACTGTGCTGAGTCTTCATTGCATCGACTACGTGGTAGAGAATACACCAGCCAGCAAGGCAACCAGAGCCCTCAACTTAGTTCATCTTCTGATATATGATCTGATTCCTATCTTCACCCTGAAATTTATTTTCCCCATGGGCATTTTGGAAAAGCCAAGGATTTGCACAATGTCGACCTCTTTTCAGGAAAAGGTGCTATCAATTCTGCATTTGGTCAGAACCTGATTTCACTCGCTGACTGCACTACCTTCTAGATTTGGTTCAGCAATTCAACAAAACTTAAAGCACAACACTTGTGTATATGTACAACGACCCCAACTAAGTTGACCAGAAGATGAAGTCGTGTCGCCCTTATGAGTCCAAACACCCATGAACACCATTGTCAGTGCTGTGTTTGGGGGAAATTAGATCCACAAGTTAATAGCTGAGGAAACCATTTGATGTGGAGACATCTGGGACGTCAGGAGATATCTTGGAAGTGCTGGCCCCTTAGGAATCCATATGAATTTGTTACAAGATCTTCAACATAGATGGTGCAAATCCTGATGAACTATATTTAAATTTACCATTGATATGTGACACTGGGCCCTTCGATATTGGAGGCAATGGATTTGCACCATCTACCTCAGTTGGGAAGCCATACCCTGGTCATGACTGATTACATGTTCTGGCCCCTAAGGGAAGGATTTTTAGCCAGTATCCAAAGTATCCTTCGATTGCGCGAGGGCGGCCTGGCTACGGCCGGGCCGCCATGTGGCTCCTTTGTATATTTGAATCTGGGTATATACATCCTTACGATCAAAAACGAGGCCGTTCGGGGGGCCCTGGGCCTATGTAAAAAGGGCCAATCAGCCCCTTGTCTTGGTTTCTGGGCCCCTTGTGACAGGATAGTCTTGGAAAGTTTAGCAAATTTAGGGAAACTGATGATCCATTATATTTTTTACTGTGGGTATTACTGCCAGCGCAGAGTCCTTCAGCCATGCTTCCAACAGGTTCCCTACTAACTTTGGTTTCAACATTTCAATCATCTGGAAATTTGGCAAGGGGTTTGATGAAATTTGATGGAATGGGGAAGAAGAATTAGTGACCTGGTTCTTGACTTTGGCCGTTTTGTCCTGCATTGCCCGGCCAAATCCTGCCAAGGATCACATGCCGATTGTGCCTTCTTCTTCTGCTGGCCTTCGTGCGATGCGCGGTGTTTCTGGTAGAGCAACCATCCTCTTCTTTGATGCTGGCTTTCCCCTATCTAGTTTGGCTTCAGAAAATTGTATCGCTCTTCTGGCCATGGCTGGTGACCAGATTGTGAGCAACCCAGTTTATCAGGAACGCATGAGTTAATTTCACAAAGCTTGATCACAAATCATATATATACTTCTTTTTGAATTTGTCGTCGGTGAACTAAGTCACATGGGCAGCTATGGACATGCCAATTTGAAGCCAACTGTGGTTTTTGGAAATGCGCTTGGGACCCAGGAATGCAATTTAAATCAGTGTGTGTTACATGCATCAGAAATTGGAGACCCCAAAATATCTTAAAACATCTTAAAATAATAAACAAAAACATTCTGGGCATCCAAATCCAGTTTTGGGGTCTTCAATTTTGTGAACATTTTGGTATTCTGTAATATTTCAGACCTGGGTCAGCTGTACCAAGAACTTGGTCCTACCGGCTTCATGTCAAGATCACAAAGAAGGTTAGAAAGCGTATCGAAAAGAACAAAGCGAAGAAGGCTACAGTCCGGAGATACGTTGATCAACAAGGGAACCGTAGAGTGTGCCAAACTCAGGTCTATCATAGGCATTGCCAGAAGTCCCTGCAAATACCTTGGCTAACCCAGAGCAGCCTTGTATTCTTTCCTGAAGATTGCATTCACCAGCAAAATAAAGGGAATCATGTTTCTCATACAAATAATGGAAAATAGAGACTACGTATGGGAATGGAGAATTGTTTTTTTTTGTCTCAGGTCTGGCAATCCCCTTCAGCTACGAGCATCTCAAGTGTATCCGAAAGGGTATGGGAAAGCTATTGCATCAATCCATGCATCCTGGGTGGTGCCCCGGATGCAACAGTAAATTTGGGTTTAAGCAATGCCAAAAACCAGGAAAAGAATTCTTAAGTGCATGCATTGGAACGACAATCAAATTACAAGACCTGGTCCCCGAATTCCAATAGCAAATTTCTAGTGCTTTTAATTAAAGCAAGTTCAAAGTCAGAACCACTCATATTTTTGGATTGTGGGGCCGGTTGAGACAAGATTTGAACTAACTGGATCTAGAATTATCTAGATCATATGGAATAAATTGTTGCAGCTTCAGGAAGCACCCTAACTAATAAAACTCACTCCCACAAAGAGGATTTTGCGATCCCCCATGTGCCTTGGAAGTCTCTCTGAGGAAAACCGGCAGAACGTGAAGAACATCCGAGATGCACTCTATCCTCAGGCTGGTGGCTTGGTGGACAAGATGCTGACGTCTGTCCCAAAGGCAGGATTGGAGAGCTCACCATCGGGTAAACACATGATTGTTTTTTCATAGAATATTGTCTTGGGTTGTGGGAGGCCCCATGTCAGTGGCGGCACGCGTCCCTATCTGGTGTGGCTGATTTCTTGAGGGCTGAGAGGGACGCTGGCCGGTTCCATCCTGTGATTAGCACTGGTTTAGACGATTGACAGGAAATCGTCCTATAAATTAGCTTACCCAGGTAGCCCTGGAGGTGAAATCATTTTTGGATGTAATCACAATCTTCAACCTCAAGAGTCTTTGGGTACATTTGCTTCAGAAAGAAATCTCCAGGTTCACCAGGGAGTGCTGAGAAATGAGATACTTGATTGCATTGCCCGATACTGCATGGAACAAAACTGATTGGACTAAGAATAAAACCACCCAAGTATTACCTTCTAGTAAATCAACATAGTCCCTGGCAAATATTGGAATGGAAGATCGATTAGTGTCCACTAATACTTGGTTGTTTTCAAGGTCTATGTTAATTTACCAGAGGGTAAGCGTGAATGGACCGTGAAATAACCGTGAAACACCGTGAAAGAATTGTGAACGGACGTTTTTAGGCGTGAAAGGACGTTCTTAGGCGTGAACGACATAACCCCCAAAATAGCTTAGTTTTTCATCATTTTCGCAATGTTTTGTGTTTTTTCCATGTTTTCCAATTCTGAGATGTTCTAGACTGCAGCTATCGACTGATCAACCGAACTGGGAATCCTATAGAGCCATGTCAACAGACGTGGACCAACTTTTAGCAGAGCAAAAGCTGCCCAGCGGAAAGCTCGGGCCGCTGAAGTTGGTGCTTCTTTAAGCGAAAGTTCCACACCTTGTGATCCCAGGACTGGTTTTTTGGCTCCTCAAATCGAAAAAAACGATACAGGTTACAAAATGTACCATTGTCACCACATTGATGGGGTAAAACCACTGGGGCATCCTTGGGACCCCTATAATGAATACCTTCGCAGCTATAGCGGGGAACAAAAACAAGTGCAAAGTTCAAACCCAATTTCACCAGGAGTTTGAAGACAAAAGCGAGATCCCCCCTGGAAGCAGGCCAGGCTGGCTGACCAGTTGGGGCCAAGTCGCAAATCCCTTCACTCTTCCAGTCTGATCTCTCCAGTCTGATTCCCATTCCTGCACAAGTCAGGGTCAAGACAAGATGTGTTGCCTTTGACTAATTTAATTTAACCCACAAAGATCAAGAACTGTAGCCTAGTATCCAACACTAGATTGCCAGCCATAGTCAGCGCCAACGATCTATGATACCAATGGGCAAGCAACACGAGAGATATACCAAATATCATGTACCCCAGATGCAGGCATCTAGGTTTTGCCATTAAGATGATATGGGAATGTCTCAAAATGAGGTGTCCGTTTTTCCCCTTAAAGTAGCTATTTTGGAACCAAAAACGGACACCTCATTTTGAGACATATCCATATTTTGTTTCCCTGCAGAACTTACAGTAATTCATCTACCAATCCCTTAAGTAAACACTTTGGAGTAAAAAAAATGGAACTACTATGTTAATAGATTTAATGCCTGAGATGTGATCCTAGCTTACGTGCTAGGAAACCAACTTCATTCCAACCTTGTCTTTACTGTTTTATCAAGACTGTCAAAGGATTGATCCCCCTCCACCCAAAAAAGATCTTGTGATATTCGAGGGGCCTACCCAAAACCATCCATAACTCCTTTTTACCTCTGTCATTTTTCAATGCTTGGGTTTGGGGATCCTTAAGGGTATTTGGTGAAGCTTTGCAACCCCAAAAGGATAGGATGGGTTTATGATGCAATGGCATTTTGTGTTTAAAAAACTACCAACCAAATCATGTAGCTATATATTCTGACCTTTACCAATTGCAGTCTGCACTGTGCGCTAGATTCAGAAGCCTCGACAGTGCCAGCGACAGAGAAGGAACTTGAGAAGGCTAAACAAAAATGAAAGGATGTTGGTAACGAGTTGGTTACCCCCCCGTCCAAGTTGAGGAAGGTGAAGCAAAGTGGAAGTGCTGAGACTTTGTCAGAGCCAAAGCTCAGCCGGGCAATTCAAAGCAAGTCTGTTCTAGAAGCCAAACCGGGTGAGAGAAAGGTGTCAACTACTGCAGTCAAAGCCAGGGCAGCCCCAAAACAGGCTTTGACAATCCCAAAACCTGAGCAGAGTCAGCAAGATGCCAAGAGAGCCCAGGCGGTGCATGACTGTTTGAGGCGACCCTCAACTGGGGACATGGCTGTTTCCCAACCAACCTCCAAGGAGCCAAAGGATAGGAAGACCGCAGGAGACGCAGCAGGAGCAGATCCTCCCACACCGCCTGAGGACCCTCCTGATGATGGTGATGATGGTAGTGATTCAGAAGAGGCTCGCAAGGCAAGGGAAATCCGGGCAAAGAAGATGGCCCATGCGCGGTACATGCGGTTCTCACGCTCACTGCAAAGTAGCTAGGTGTAATTTCATGGGCAGGGGGTAAAATTGTTTTGGAGAGAACAGATCATTGTGCCAGACACATCATGTGAAATAGAAAGCAATTGCCCAAAAGAGCTAGCAAGGTCCCTAGAATGGACTGCCATTTGAAAATTCGAAAACAAACATCAAGAAAGAACATATCATCTTGTTTTTGCGCCATCTACTGCGACAAATTACTTTCAAGGTTCTGGTTTAGACAGGAGTTCTGAACAATGAGTTTGAACACTTTATGAAGCACTTAGTCACCCCGATGCATGCTCTACCCGGTCTAAGGTCCAAGGACACCTCCAGAGGTTCGACGAGCCGGACGTGCAGCATTTCGGGACTCCGGAATGTTGCAGGTGTTGCTGGAGCAGTGGACAAGCTGCGCTGGGGTTTGGACAGAGAGTGAATTTTACATCCAAGTAAAAGAGAAGCGTAAGAACCGTTCCTATGGCTCGCGGCGATGGATGACCCGCATGGAAATCGTCGCCAAATTTGGGAGCACACAAGTGGCAGACCAAATTATCTCTGCCAAGACCTTGGACGCAGAGGTGTCACAAACCCATGTAAGAGCCAATCCAGACCTTCACGGACTTGACACTCCTGACTCTTACTTGGGAAATTATATTACTTTTTGATCTTTGAGATATATGATAAAGATTTTGTTATCACCCAGTAGTTACCCTCAAAGGACACATACAAGGATGTTGGACTTTTTGGACCTTCAAATGCTAGCTGCTCAGGAGACTCGCCAGTATCTCATTTGGGATCGCGAAGGTGAGGAAACAACGGTGGACCATGTGACCACAACACTCTTTCAGGCTGCTGAAAAGGATGAGGACGAGAAGACCAGGGGCAGGTCAAGGGTGAGAAGCCGCAAAGGGAGGAAGCATGACAAGAAACATGGCAAGGGAAAGAAATCAAGAGGTAAGAAGAAGAAGCGTTCCACATCGTCGACCAGCGATTCAAGTGGTACCAGCAGCTCGGACAAGCCAAGCAGTGAATCAGAAGAGAAAGAGGCCCAGCAACAACATGGCACCCCAGCTTGGCAATCCCTGTGATACCTCTTGACAGTCTAACCAAGGTTGGTAATTATAATGCATGCTGGCATCATGAACCCTTTCATGCCCCGCTTGCTTAGAGCAGACTTAGTTTCCAAACGTCTCACCGCTAGCAAATGGCAGGCCAAAGGGAAGAAAGCATCAAAGAAGAAAGCCACGAAGAGAGGCAAAGGTAAGAAAAGAGGAAAAAGTTCAAAGTCAAGTGACAGCTCTGGCCAGGCAGGGAGGAAGAAGAGAAAGGAAGAAACAGAAGAGCAGAAATTGAAGCGTGAACAGAAGGAACAGGAGGCTCAGCAAAAAAAAGAGATGAGGGAACAGGAGAAGGAAAGGGAGAAGGAAAAGAAAGCGATTGAGAAGACCAAAAATGATGCTTTCAAAAAGGATCTGCGGAAAGGAAACCAGGCTGGGATCATTTCTACATAAGCTGAAATCCACTGACCCAGTGTAGGTGAACCACTAACCCATCAAAGATAACCTCGCACCTTTAAATCCACCACCCGCCTCTCCTGCAGGCGATGACGAAGCTCAACGCAGGAATCTCCAAGGGGGCATCGCTTAATGACAGTGACAAACTTCGCCATATGTTCCTAGGCCGCGTTGGTTCTGTGACTCCCTTGTGGGTGTGGATTTTGTTTGATGTTGTGGGCCAATAGGCTACACAATATTATTCTATGTGTAATGCACACCTTCCCCTATTGATTACAGAATCAAGATATGCTTGATTGTTTTCATAGTTACAGTATGTTACAGTATGTTACAGTATTAAACAGTATACACTATACTAATGGTATCTCATCATGATATCGTGTTTTCCACGAAAATACTTCCATGGATTGATAGAATTGAAGCTTGGATGACCTTTGTAAGGAGTGGCTCGGTTGTGACGGCGATCCTTGCCGAAGTCAAGCCCCACATTGCCAAAATGAAGGGTGCCCGTTCCCAGTTGCAGAAGTCCATCGATGCAGCAAAGGTGGGATTGGGTCTGAGATGTTTGGGATACACCAGGGGAAACATATACCAATGGACATGTGTATGCATGTTGCATAACACCTATTGGCTGTATGTAGGCTTCAAGAATTTGAGGGATGGACAAAATTGGCCTTGGTCTAACATTAAACATGTATTCCCAGATCCCCAGCTTAGGAATAATTGTCATGAAGCATGTTGCCTGGCACTGCAGGTTGGCAGCATTGGAACCCTTCTTGAAGATGCAGAAGCGGCTGATGTGGCAGTGGCTGCTTTCAACACTTTTATGGCAGCTTACCATATCAAGTAGGCAAGGGAACGTATCAATAGCTTGATGGATCATTTGATGACAGTGCCATTTAGAATCCCAGCAGCCCTTGGTTCTTGTGTTGCCAGTTCTTGTAAAACACCAAGATGATTTACCAGCTGAATGTTTGAAGAACACTTATACAAATCTAATGACCCAACAATTTTTTGTTTGGATGATGGGGCTTTGGCTGGCTGTGGCGCTATTTTGGATCCACGATTTCATGCTCCAAGTCAGGGCTTCAAAAGGCCACAATATAAGTACCCATAATCCATGGGGTCTGGTCAACAGTCTTAGCTTGCGTGAAGGAACACGCTGGCTGGGTTAGTGTTCGGCCAATCAACTTTGGGGAAACTTGGCCTTTTGGGATGGCGTGTGTTCGCAGTCATTCAAGAAACCGAATGCGGTGCCAGCCACAAATGACATCACATGACAAGTGTGAGTTGCTGTCACTACAGGTGAAGGTTAATAGGTTGATCACTAGCACCCATCAAAGGTCCAGTAAACATATCCATGGATTCCTTGGCCTACCCCACGCAGGTCTGGCTGACCCTGGTGTTCCACACACCCTTCAGGGACACATTGATGATGTTGCTTCTGGGGTATTTTGGCTCAGATTAGTGTTGGCGATTCATTGGCTTCAACATTTTATGGGTTCTATAATAAGTATTTGGAAAAGCTAGAGCTGGGCCAAGGGCTTTGAATAACTGTTTGAAAAGATCAGGATTCATTTTTTTAGAGCTGCCAAAGCTTCCTATCTTCCAACCTGTTTGCCTCCCTGCTGCTCTTCATGCGGCCAGGCATCGTCCATTGGAAAGGTGATGACTCGCCTCCGAAATCAAGTGAAAGAACCTCAAATGCCGTCATGGTGTGGATAAGGGTGTGGGTGTATTGCAGTGGCCTGGACCCCGTGGTAATTAAGTTCAACCAACCCGTTCTGTCTTTGATATTGATTACCATTTATAAATGATTTTATAGATATCATCATGATGATCACCTCATTGTTTTGAGCTGCAGGGTTACAGCACTATGAATAACTTTACAAAAAATGAAAGCATGCATTATGCCAATTACACTAATTTGTCAACTCTGAACTGATCATTCTGATCATTTTGCATCATGTGGATGATCCATGAACATATTGACCCTGAATAGCTAGCCGTGATGTTGTAAGTGTCTAGCCATATTGCAACTGTATGGTGTGTTTACTTGAAGGTAGATCCCACAACAAAAAATGCTCCTGAAAACAGTTGTTTCTTATGGTTGTTTTTACGCAAAGCAACAAGATGTATTCATACAATTAACAAATGCATGTGGCATCATGTGGCTATGTATTGTCATCACACCATACCAATATTTGCACATAGTCGATTTGTGGCGATGGAGGGAGGGAGAGAGAGAGAGAGAGAGAGTCGATTTGTGGGCCTGTATCTAAATGGTTTCACGCCCTTCGAACCAATTAGCTTCATGATAGTATCGAACATTGATATTTTGACATGTTGCCTTCAACACACTGGTCCTAGGAAACTGGGGACGCTTCTCATCCTGATGTGCGACGACTTGGGAAGACCTCTAGCACTGCTCGAAATGATTCACGGGATTTTTGGCGCGCTGTTAAAATCCCGGTTGCCTCTTGGTTTTGGTGTCTGGAAATTTGGTGAATTTTTCATTGGGGTCTCTTGGGGTTGTTTTATCATCAAAGTATGGGCAACAAGTCAGCAAGTATGATTTAATTTGATGTTTGAATCTACACCGGGCAATTGAAACACGCCGAGGAAACCCATACAATCAGAGTTCCTGTGGTCAACAAAAAGGCACCTGGTGGCCTTGGCTTTGAGAAGTATCCTATTTTACACCCGCATGAGGTATTGTCATATCTGTGGGATGAAGTGCAAGTTCAAGTTCCCAAATCAGAAGTTTCAGCATACTGGAAGCATGCCAGAGAGTTTGGTGAGCCGTGGGCTGTTTTATCTGACGCATCAGATGAGCATGTTCCTGTGGGTTTGCATGGTGATGCAACACGTTTATGGACTATCCATCGATTTGAAAAGATCATGGCTATATTTCTCAACCTGGTCCTATTCCGACCACATTCAGTTCGTCACTCTCGTTTCCTTCTCTTCTCGATCCCACGAGACAAATTGTTCAAAAATCGGACACTAAATGCTGTCTTTCGCCGTCTTCTCTGGAGTCTTGAGGCTGCGTATGATGGTGTCAATCCCCAAACGGGGGTAGCAGGAAGACCTCTGTCAGAAACTGATCAAAAACGCGCACTTTGTCCACTTACTAAATCTGGTGCACGGTTTGCTCTTACAGAGCTCCGTGGAGATTGGGAGTACCATGTTGAAATTTGGCGTCCTAATGCAAGCTGGAAGTCTGATACAATCTGTTTTCGTTGCCCTGCAGAAGCAAAGGGAGCTGCAGGAAATCTGTATTGGAACCATGGGGATGGATGCACATGGGAATCGGAGGAGTTTGGACTAGAGTCACTTGAGAGGGAAGGGTGAAAGATCGAAAGGTAGGCGTGGGTTGGAACAGGAGAAGAGAGCAAGGGAACGAGGCATATCCGCTGCGGACGGACGTGGGTGGAGTTGGGGCGGATATCGAAAAAAGTCTTCTGGGCTTGGACTCGAGGGCGGGTACCAAAAAGGTAGGTTTCAGGGAGGGGGGACACGACACACACACAGACACACAGACATATATATATAAATACATACATATAGTTAGATATATGTATAAATATCAGGTTATGGGGTTTGCGAGGCAACGTGTAACTGGGGGCAGCACATTGTTGCAACGCGGATGGGGTTGATTCTGGTGTGTACATGTGTAGAACAGTGTGGGATTCACAAACGTGGTGTTTTGACCCCAGCATGTACCCAAAGCAACTGACTTAGGGCTATCCTGGTGCTGGAATCTTGGTGCGAAAAGTGGGCCCGCGGGGTGACTTCTTGCAAACGCGGCTTTAGAGGCGGACCTTGGGGGAATCGAAGGGGGGGGTTCAATATAGTTGTGATAATTATGTTCTAGTTATTATAGTAATTCTAGTCATTATAGGTGTTCTAGTTATTATACATGATAACTATATATATACGAATATACATATATATGAAACATATTGAAATGTCATTAGCGAAGTCTTTTGGTTGAAGAGAATATCTTGGAGGAACCCTTGCGGAAAATCCACCAAATGATCTAGATATGCTGAGCAAGGGGCAGCGATTATGCTTCGGCAACCACTAGCCAAAGCGCAATATCCCACGATTGCTGGGTAGAGTATGCATATATATATATATATACGAATCTATATGTAGAGTGAGATTATTTAGTATATATATATATCATGGAATTATTATGTGTATATATATATAGATACATATCTTTAACTATATTGTCGAAGGAAGTTGAGAAGCTAAACTTCCGACAATATGGACAGATGAAAAGCAGAGCAGGGCAGAGGCAGAGAGAAGAGAAAGTTCAGAAGAGAAAGAGTCAGAAGAAAGAAGATGCAGATGCGCGAAAAGGTAGGAAAGTCGCGATTCACTGTGTTTTTCCAATGATTTGTGGTTCCGGAGGGTCGAAAAGTAGGCTCGCTAAAGCGGCGGGTGCGGAGACATATGGGGAGATGAGACATGAAAAATTGCACGCCGTTGTGGCGCGAAGCACATTTCCAAGTCAAAATGCACAAAAACCAGAGGATCGGACCACTTTTGGCGCTTCAGATGTCGAAAAAGTGCACGCCGTTGTGGCGCGAAGCACATCCCCAAGTCAAAATGTACAAAACACACCAGGGTCTGACCACTTTTGGAAGTTGCGATGTCGAAAAAGTGCACACCGTTGTGGCGCGAAGCACATGTCCAAGTCAAAATGTAGAAAACACACCAAGTGCGGACCACTTTTGGCACTTAAGATGTCGAAAAAGTGCACGCCGTTGTGGCGCGAAGCACATTTCCAAGTCAAAATGTTAAAAACACTAGGGGTTCGGACCACTTTTGGAGGCTCAGAGGTCGAGTTTCGAAAAAGTGCACGCCGTTGTGGCACGAAGCACATTTCGAAGTCAAAATGTGCAAAACACCAGGGGTTCGAACCACTTTTGGAGGCTCAGAGGTCGAGTTTCGAAAAAGTGCACGCCGCTGTGGCGCGAAGCACATTTCGAAGTCAAAATGTACAAACCACACCATGTTCGGACCACTTTTGGAGGCTGAGATGTCGAGTTTCGAAAAAGTGCACGCCGTTGTGGCGCGAAGCAGATTTGGAAGTTAACATGTTAAAAACACTAGGGTTTCGGACCACTTTTGGCGGTTCAGATGTTGCTTCGCTTAACTCGACTACACTACATGACACTACACTTTGCTGCACTACACTACATTACACTACATTACATTACACTACACTTCACAACACTACAGGTTACAACTACAACTACACAACTACAGTCCACTACAGTCCACTACAGTCCACTACACTAAATTACACTGCACTACACTCTCTACACTACACTTCACTACATTACACTACACTACACTCCACTACACTACAAATACAACTACACCTACCCAACTACACTCCACTACACTCCACTACACAACATTAAACTACACTACACTACCTTACACTACACTACACTCCACAACACTACAACTAAAACTACACAACTACACTCCACTACACTACACTACCTTACACTACACTACATTACACTACACTAGACTCCACTACACTACACTACATTACACTACACTACACTACCTGCCGCTACACTTCACGACGCTACTCTACACTACACTCCACTACCACCTACAACTACAACTACACTCCACTACATTACACTACATTACACTACACTACATTACACTGAATGACACTGCACAAAAGATAGACAGGTAGACAGCTAGACAGATAGATAGATAAGAAAGATAGATAGATAGATAGATAGATAAGATAGATAGATAGATAGATAGATAGATAGATAGATAGATAGATAGATAGATAGATAGATAGATAGATAGATATGATAGATAGGATAGATAGGATAGATAGGATAGATAGGATAGATAGGATAGGATAGGATAGATATGATAGATAGATAGATAGATAGATAGATAGATAGATAGATAGATAGATATGATAGATATGATAGATATGATAGATATGATAGATATGATAGATATGATAGATATGATAGATATGATAGATATATGATAGATAGGATAGATAGGATAGATAGGATAGATAGGATAGATAGGATAGATAGGATAGATATAGATAGATAGGATAGATATATCAGATAGATAGGATAGATAGGATAGATAGGATAGATAGGATAGATAGGATAGATAGGATAGATAGGATAGATAGGATAGATAGGATAGATAGGATAGATCGGATAGATAGGATAGATAGGACAGATAGGATAGATAGGATAGATAGGATAGATAGGATAGATAGGATAGATAGGATAGATAGGATAGATAGGATAGATAGGATAGATAGGATAGATATGATAGATATGATAGATATGATAGATATAATTGATAGATAGATAGATAGATAGAGGGATAGAGGGATAGATCGATAGATCGATAGATCGATAGATCGATAGATCGATAGATCGATAGATCGATAGATAGATCGATAGAGGGATAGAGGGATAGATGGATAGATGGATAGATGGATAGATGGATAGATGGATAGATGGATAGATGGATAGATGGATAGATGGATAGATGGATAGATGGATCGATGGATAGATGGATAGATGGATAGATGGATAGATGGATAGATGGATAGATGGATAGATGGATAGATGGATAGATGGATAGATAGATAGATAGATAGATAGATATGATAGATAGATAGACAGGTAGACAAGAGTGAGAGAGATCAATCGCCTTTCAGTCCAGCAGTGGCTGCGCTCTGCCATCTCTGATTCACAACAACCAATCTCTCCTATAGGTTTCCTATTTTTGAAACTTCCGCCACCGCCTTGTGCGGTACTACTGGTATATCATGTACGATTTTTGAGACTACTGCAACGCAGTCCGTCGCAACGTTCTTGCTACGACATTGTTCATCGCGGTTGTTAGGGTGAACGAAACAAAGTTCTTGAGCAATCTGACATTGTCGAGTTTCAGTGCGGGTCTTGACTTCGGTTGGGGTGGGGATGTATGTAAATGTGGTGGATGAAAGTGCATGTGCGGCTGTTGGCGTTTCCTTGTAGTCCGCCTATGTTGCAAACCCGGCTTTAGAGGCGGACCTGGGGGGAATCGAAGGGTGGGGGGGGGGCCCCCCCCCCTTGAAAGGCGGACCGAGACATAACCGGCCCAAACTCTTGCACTTGCACCGCTCGCCCCCTAATACTTGCTACGCAAGGGGGAACTCAGGTAGCTCACCGCTACCTTTCGAGATTTGTTGCACGCAGATTAAGAGATAGTAACCTGTGTACCTTGGCTGGTTCAAACCTGGGGAATTTGTTGCTCCTGTTTTTTTTTTTCGTTGGTTTAATGTTTAATTCTGAAAACATAACAATCCTCATCAAGTTTCCCTACTGTTACTGTTACCCCCTTTGTTAAAAAACTTTGTTGAAATACTCTTTTGATGCCCTTCGCATGTCATACCAGGAAAACTAGCCTGTGGATCTGAGGTCCTTTGCTCAACCTTCGCATGTTCAAGCACCCGTCGCTGCTGAAATGGTGCACAATGCACACGATAAATCTTGGGTTATTGTTCACAGCGAACGGTGGGAGTTTGAGTCTCAACTTATCTTGGTTACTATTGATTTTTCCCACCAAACAAAACATCAAAACCAAAGCATTCCATCAAAAGGGTGGGTTTTTGTAAACCATTCTCAGGATTTTGCTGACAGAAGAGCTCCAATACTTTGGGCCTGGGGAATTCAGTGTCCAGTTGGAGGAAGCCTATAGGCATTTTCTCGATTTCTGCCGAACCCGCCGCATTCCGCACACCCAACCACCCTTCCTTCGCAAAATGGTCACATGGATGATAGCTTTATGATTTCAATATTTGGTCGCCCAAAAGATGCCCAAAGTACAAAAAGAATGTATAAGCCAATTTTCAGGTGTGGTTCACCACATACTCTAGGAATTCAATTTATATAATTAACCATAGTTGTCCTTTTCTTCGTGGGATAACTTGGAGTTTGACCAAAGCAAACATGATGGAATCAATCTGGTTTGCTTGCAAATTTAACCCTCAAGAGTTTTTGGGCAAAATAGTATGGAAACGAGAAATTTTCATAGTCTAGTTAAAATCGTACTGTGCCTGCCACTACTCAGGTAAAGACGAAGAACGGTGAGATCCTAATGACTGCAAAGGCATACAATGGCCGGATCATTCTCATGTGGCTTAACCACTGCTTGCTGGATGCCGTGCAACATCATGCCGACCATCAAATCCTCTTGATGACGAGTGTGGCAATGTTTTTTGGTTGATATATGCCAACGTGTGACGTTATAATTATTGTTAATTGTTAAATTACCAATTGAATTCATAGATTTTAGTTTCACAAGAAACCAATGAAATAGGAGGGGGGTTGGAGTTTCCTTGGGTTCTGTAACCACCACACCCACCATTGCCCATCCAGCTGTGCCAAGGAGCTCATTGGCGAAATTCATGACCACCATGGAAGCGAACGACCGCTTCTTGCAGCATGGCTGCACTTGAGAGGGCCCGGTCAAGACCCGGTGAGGATTAAGTATTGTCAGTATTTATTATATATGTAGGCTAGGATGAGTACTATTACCTCTAGTTCATGAATCACGTACACTGATTATATATACCTGGACCTTCCAAAGACTGTTGTAATTATACTTTGTCCTACTGTGCAAACGGTCTGGCTACTTAGGCCATAAACATTCCAACACACTTCATGGTTGGACATTGGTTGAACGCCTGACCTTGTAGCACCCAATGCTTGCTCAATCCAAGGACACAAGAAGCTGCAGAGTCACTGCATGATTCGGGCATGAAATTCGTCGACATGCATTGCGCACTATCTGTGGCGCACATTAGGCTTGGGTTTTGTCGTGCCACCATGTGCCGCTTGGGGTATCATTAGTTAACTTGCATGGCCCACTCTCAGAGGCTGCAAAAAAGCATTTGGCTGATGAAGCCGAAACTACATGCTCCTTATCTGATGTGGAAACAACACCATAGGTTGATTTCAGATCAAGAAAAATCAGTTGCTGATGAAACCAAATCTTGAGACTTCTCATTGGATTTGGAAACACCGTTTCTGTAAATGCAAATGAATGCTGGTGTTCAGGTCACACAGGCCATAGGCTATGGTCCCATTGGAATGTTAATGTCAACCCTGGATTAATAAACCACCATGCTATTTCATTGCAGGGGTACCATTTTAGTAGCCAATCATTGCTATTTTAAGGGGCCCAAATTAATCAACCAGGGTTTATTTAATCCGGGGTTTACATTAATTAAGATCATTGGTTGTATCCTGGCACCTAGGTGCTTATTCATATTTGCAAAGATGTTCAACACTACAGTGCTTTGGACTCATATAGTTTGCGCGCAACATGTTTTTTTTTGCGCATGCCGCATGCCCTACTAGTTGTTCTTCACATAAATCCCCAAGGAGCCAATCCAAGAATGTGGCACACATTTATCGATGAAGATGCGATGCGCTGGGTGAAAGGTAACTTAGCTGACATTGTCTGACATTGATCTTGATTATCTGGCATTATGTGACATTCTCCTGACATTGTCTTGACATTGGTCTTGACTATCTGACATTGTCTGACATGATATTCTGACATTATCTGGCAAGCCTTGTTGGGTCTGAGGAATCTGCGCAAGGGCGCATCCACGAACCCGGCACCATTGGCTTCTCAAATGTGCCAAGTTGAGGCTTCATGGGTTAATGGTTTCTTCAAGGGTCTGCCATTGGCTTGTTCAGTTTATGTTGATTTCAGTGGTTGGCCTGTTGTTGCAGGTTGTATTCTATGAAGCACCGTCTATCCCGGAAAAAGAATCTTGGCCTTCAAGTTGGGGACCACAGGAAGAAAATCAGACCTTTTGGGACTTTTGGGTGGCAACAAATCATCATAAACCAGTTTCAGTTGAATCCTGGTCAGGACACGAGATCGGAGGAGAAGATGAACCCTTGGGATCCTTTTGGCATGGTGCTGTGACAACGCTTGTGTGAAAATGAGGTAGAAAAAGGGTGATCAAGCGTGATTGGGCGTGATTGCGAAAGTACATTAGGTCCAATCGTGAAACCGTCTTTAGGCTAAAGACCGTTGTTTTAATAGTCTTTGGAAGGTCAGGGTGAAGCTGGGGCATCGAGCAAAAGCCTCACGGCACATTGGAGCAATGCTTGCACTGAAAGGCCCAAGTCAATTCAAAAGCGGTGGGAATGCGCCACGGCTGCATGCATTAAGACCGAGTTCTAACATACAAGTTTGGGAATGGTAGGCCACATGTTCAATTTCCAAGTTCCATGGATGGTGCAACAAATCGAAATATGTTGGGGCAACCGACACCTTCCCATGTCTTCAAGACGTTTTCAAGCTTGTAAGTCATGCCATATTTATCCACCATCTTCAAAGTCCTCAGGCTGAACATGCCTCAGTTTGGTCTTCAAATCTGAATCACAAGCCATGCTCACACACCTTAGACAAGCATGCAGATTGCATTGTCTTTTGTGATGCTGCGGCGTCAAGCCACCAACCTACATGTCAATCTCGACTTGTGCCGGCCCCAGCTGATTCACAACGAAAGGTCCCTCCAGCCAGCCACTGGCCACTGGGATTAGACTGGGATTTGGCAAAGCCCATTGTGCGACATATGAATTAAACTGTATCCTGTCCGACACCCTTTAAAGTTAAAGTGAAAATGGACCCACTCCTGCAGGGGCCCCAGTACGAACCACGGCCTGACGTACACAGCACAGGTGTTGGTGAGGCCGCGCTGGCACTTGAGTGTGAATTTTTCAAGGTGCCTGTGACCTATGGACATGAACTTGGGCTGTCGGATCGCCGCTGTCGAGAGTTATTCTTTCAAGGTGCCTGGGACCTAGACATGCCACGCTGCCTTCGCCAAACGCTTTGACCACGGAAAACTGGTATATATATAGGTGCTGAGCCGCCCCCTATCGGTTCTGGAGCTGCAGGGCAGTCTCTTGCTCATCTGTTCCAGTAACAGCCAGTCGCAAGCATGAATTCTTCAGGGACAAAGGTGAATCATCCTCTGGGCAAGTTAAAGGAACTTCTTTTCGCCTTCACATCATCCCAGCCAGTGTTAACGTGTGTCGCCGACCCAATCTTACATGAGATGTGGCCTCAACTTGGGCCTTTTATTCCTTCATACTGCAAGGTTTTTTCTTAAAGGTTTGCAACGCACTACTTCCGTGGCCACAGTTTTCACTGCTGCGAAAGGGGTGTAAGGAGTGGATTGCCTTCTTCTCGCTTTACCTTGATAAGGAAAAGAGTATGTTACAACAATGTTGACTAAGGTTCGGCCGTGTCTCCGCCAAACCTGCCCTTCAAAGCGCTTCCGCAAACTCTTCTTCACGCTTCCGAGTTGTGAAATTTCACACCTCGCTTCAAGGCCACAACCCATAGCTGATGGCTTTGGACGCTGCTCACGTACACTTGAGGCCGCATTTCAACGCCATAGCCTTGCGCTCGCTACACTCTTCTCTATATTCCTCGGAAGGGACAAGTGAACCATTGCTTTCAGATGCTACAGAGCCAAGGGTTTCAGGTCACAGATGATTCCGCACCGATTCTCGGTCATACACCCGCAGGCTTGAACCGCTCTGAGGCACTACAAGCGTTTGGACCTCAACCCCTTTTCAAGGATAGCCGCGATAAGGAACTACTGCTTACTAAGCAAAGGCTTGCACTCTAGCGCTTCCGCAAACTCTTCTTCACGCTTCCGAGTTGTGAAATTTCACACCTCGCTTCAAGGCCACAACCCATAGCTGATGGCTTTGGACGCTGCTCACGTACACTTGAGGCCGCATTTCAACGCCATAGCCTTGCGCTCGCTACACTCTTCTCTAGAGCCTGGCCCCCAGAAAACGGCACTCACTTTCAAGTGATGGAATCAGTACTTTGAGATTCACCACTGCCTCTCAATGGCTCAGCCAGGCCCCAGCTGCCTTGCGGGTCATGAGCAGCGGACAATCTTCAAAAAGACGTGCGCAAACTGGAACGGTGTTTTGCGCGGTGGAGTCCGCGGGAATCCTATGGTATGGATGGTCACCCCTTACCCCCTGTATCGGTTCTCTGGAGCGTCAGGCAGCCTTTGCCATACTGTTCCAGTAACAGTCATCCGCAAGCATGAATTCTTCAGGGACAAAGGTGAATCATCCTCTGGGCAGTTAACGGAACTTCCTTTTCGCCTTCAACAATCATCCCACCAGTGTTAACGTGTACGCCGACCCAATCTTACTGAGATGTGGCCTAAACTTGGGCCTTTTATTATTCCTTCATACTGCAAGGTTTTTTCTTAAAGGTTTGCAAACCGCACTACTTTCCGTGCCACCGCTTTCACTGCGGCGAAAGGGGTGTAAGATGGTTGCCTCCTTCTCGCTTTACCTGATAGAAAAGAGTATGCTGATTAAGGTTCGTCCTTGTCCGGCCAAACCTGGCCCTTCAAAGCGCTTGCCGCAAACATCTCTCTTCTTCACGCTTCCGAGTTGTGAAATTTCACACCTCGCTTCAAGGCCACAACCCATAGCTGATGGCTTTGGACGCTGCTCACGTACACTTGAGGCCGCATTTCAACGCCATAGCCTTGCGCTCGCTACACTCTTCTCTATATTCCTCGGAAGGGACAAGTGAACCATTGCTTTCAGATGCTACAGAGCCAAGGGTTTCAGGTCACAGATGATTCCGCACCGATTCTCGGTCATACACCCGCAGGCTTGAACCGCTCTGAGGCACTACAAGCGTTTGGACCTCAACCCCTTTTCAAGGATAGCCGCGATAAGGAACTACTGCTTACTAAGCAAAGGCTTGCACTCTAGCGCTTCCGCAAACTCTTCTTCACGCTTCCGAGTTGTGAAATTTCACACCTCGCTTCAAGGCCACAACCCATAGCTGATGGCTTTGGACGCTGCTCACGTACACTTGAGGCCGCATTTCAACGCCATAGCCTTGCGCTCGCTACACTCTTCTCTATATTCCTCGGAAGGGACAAGTGAACCATTGCTTTCAGATGCTACAGAGCCAAGGGTTTCAGGTCACAGATGATTCCGCACCGATTCTCGGTCATACACCCGCAGGCTTGAACCGCTCTGAGGCACTACAAGCGTTTGGACCTCAACCCCTTTTCAAGGATAGCCGCGATAAGGAACTACTGCTTACTAAGCAAAGGCTTGCACTCTAGCGCTTCCGCAAGCTCTTCTTCACGCTTCCGAGTTGTGAAATTTCACACCTCGCTTCGAGGCCACAACCCATAGATGATG